AATTCTGATCAGATAATGAAAGAAACAGTGTGCTAATGTAGTTTAATTAAGATCATCATGTATTGCTCACTAGCCTTGCTTTGAAATCTTATTTTTCACTTTTTGAAGTATGATTTAGATTAGGGTTGTGAAATTCTGGGCTGATACCATTAGAGATATTTAAAAAAAAACAACCACCACAATACCGCGGTCACGTGATGCCTACCGCGATGAAGAGGTCATCACCGCATTAAAAAAAAAAACCCAAACAAACAAAAAAACTGATTCATCATGGCGGCGGATCTGGTTCCAAGTCAAATGTTAAAAGAATACTCCGATGATTTGGGAGTTATGCCCTTTCGCTATCATTTTCATATTGAGACAACATGATGGGTATCGTTTTTGTGTCTGTACGTCTAGTGTGGTTAGCATTGGGGTCAGTACGTTTGGCGCTGTGATCCGCGGAGGGATACACCGGTGAGCAGACACAGGCTCGGACGTAGCCTGTAAACAAAACTCAGCTGTTTATTTAGCCTAGATATCTCCGGACTATAGTAGCTGCAATGGACGACTTTAAACGCAATTTTGAGGAGTTTCTTGTAGCGGACACAGACCCAGAGCCATACCTGTTTGAGCTGGAGCATACAGATGAGGAACTCCCAAGTGTTGGATGCTGAGCGGGCGAGAAGAGAGGCTGAATCCTCCGGAGCGGCGGAGCAGCAACGGGCTGAGGGGAGACGGAGGTCAGGGGAGGACTGGTGGTGTAGCTGTGGGGCTAGCTAACATATTCCTACGGAGGTGGAATCATTTTGCTGCACAGAATGGGATTTGGTGCTACCATCGTTGAGGAGATATATCATCAGGAGGAAAACCGCTGCAGAGTGTGCATCACAAGGAGTGAAAATTTTGCAGCAATCCTACTGGAAAAAACGCCCAGGCCAGCAGGAGCTGATGGACAGCTTTCAGTCGAGTGAGTAATATCGTCCGTGTCGTGTCTTTGTTTGCGTTTACCGAGTGACCTAGCGTACCTGTCCCAGAGCCAGCTGCAGCTGTTGCTCACCGGTGTATCCCTCCGCGCAGGATGTAAACACACTATCATGTATCAAACCTCTTCTAAAACGACTATAACGGACTCTCGTTTTTTCAATTAATGTTTAAACATGTTTATTTTAAATGTCACTCTGTCACCGCTGTGAGAAAAAATACATACCGTCACAGCCCTATTCAAAAGCCTTTTCAATATATGTAATATGTCACAGTTCCCTCCCTCTCCCTTTATATTGCTGTGAAAAAATCTCCTTCAAACAACTGTATTTATTCAAGTTTAAAACAAAAAAATAAATTTTACAGTGTGGGAGGAGAGGGGCGACCTCTCACCTAGTAGAGTGTGCGGCCCATGTAGTCCTCTGCAGCGGCTCGGGTTCGATTATGACATGCAGCCCTGTACTGTGTGTCATTCTCCCTCTCTTTCCTACCTATCTTAGCTGTCTTATCAATAAAGGCAAATATGGCCCCCTAAAAAATCAATCACTCAGCACCACAGCAGTCTGGACAGCTCCCCCCAGACTGACCAGGTTTAGTGTCAGCCAAAGAGACGTGTCCTTGGATATCAGACTGTGAACATAGTATAATAATACTAATAACAACAACAACAACAATAATAATAATGATAATAATATTTTCTTAATATTGAAAAAAGGGCATCACATCTTCTTTTGAATAAACGTCTCCTGTGTCACACAAAGGCTCAGGGGCTGCTGATACTACTATGAATTAGAACTAGAATGCAAAAGTATTGCAAACAAATGCAGGTTATGGTATTTGAAGGGACAGTTCACCCCCAAATCAAAATGACAGGTTTTTCCTTTTCTTATCAGTCTAGATAGTTTTGGAATGAGTTGCCGAGTGTTAGAGACATTGGCTGTAGAGATGTCTGCCTTCTATATGATGGAACTAGATGGCACTCAGCTTGTGATGCTTGAAGTGCCAAAAATTTTAAAAAAAAAAACTCAACAGCAATGTCTCTTTCCACAAATCATGACCCGGTTACTCAAGATAATCCACAGACCTTGTTGTGAGCAGTTTCATGTAGGAACTATTTTCTCTCTAACAAACTACACTTGCCAACCATTTGACAACACAGAACGAAGCATGCATCTACTCATGGTCAAAAGGTTTGTGCTCATGACAGTGTGATGGCATCTGCCTTGACTGAGCTGTAATGTTAGCTAGCTCAGTGGTGCTGGTGAGCCTGCAGTAGACAACATATCCTCATAGAAGATATATCCTTAGCGTAAAGTTTTGTAATTTAGACACGTAAAGTTACTGTGGTTAGGTTTAGGGAAAAAACATGATGAGGACATACCTTAAAATGACTCACAGCTCACACGGTTCTGAACATGCGTCTCCTTGGGAAAGCAATTGGGGAAAGTCTGTCTGTCACCCACCACCCCAACCTGCCTCTTAAAAGACCGCTTGGACTGCTTCCTTGTTTACTCCTGCATTGGTCACGTGATTGCAGCCATCCTAAATATAATAATATTTGCCTTGTATAGTACCTTTCTAGTCTTCCGACCACTCAAGGCACTTTTACACTACGCGTAACATTCAGCCATTCACACACACATTCATACAGTGGTGGCCGAAGCTACCGTACAAGGTGCCACCTGCTACTCAATTTTTTACACACTCACACACTGATCGAACTTCAGGGTTCAGTATCTTGCCCAAATATATTTCAGCATGTGGGTTGTTGGTTATGCACAAATTACTGACTCATGATAAGGCAGGATAAGTACAGATTTGGGTGCATTACTTTTCATAGAAGATGTGCAAACAGTTTATGACAGCCTGCAGTCAATGCACACTTCTTTCTGCATGGTGATACATTGTGCCATGTAGTTCTATTATATTGGAAAGAAGGCAGACATATCTTAGGCTGATATCCCCAACATTGGCAACTCACACCAAAACCATCTAGACTGAATAATAATAGAACTATTAATATAATAATCAATAGAACTATAGAACTACAGGTAAGAGGAGAAATATGCATGCATTTTTTATTCTGGAGTGAAGTGTTCCTTTATGTGCTAAAAAATTACACAAAATGCAGACCCTTGAAGTATTGCTTGGAATATTTCAGATTTTAGAACAAGTGATGTCAAGCAAGAGCAACTCTTGTGCAGAGAGTGAGACTTGTGAGACTTGTGTTTGCCCCACAAATCCCCACAATCTGCAGTACAATGAATGCACAAAGGCCAAGAAGGATAAAATCACTATCCTAACCTCACCGAATCACTGTTCTTGTCCAGCGACAGCTCAGACATCCATAACATAATCATGATCAAAATATTGATCCAAATAATGGTAATTATCATTTTGGGCATAATCGTGTAACAGACAATGTTACTCTGTTGTTTCCTGGACGGTAGAGGGGGGTGATATATCAGTTATACTCAATGTATCGCAGCTTGTTCCATGTTGTATGTATAAAATGATTACATTGAGAATGTCAAGTATATAAGTGGTCAAGCTGTTTTTTTAAGCCACCAGCATGAGACTCGCTTCGGCATTTTGGTTCTTTCATTCTCTCCTGTGGCTCTCTCCCTCTCACAGACACACTCACACATAAAGAGAGACTCACAAACATGATGCGTCACACACTCCTCCACCCATCCAGATCACTTTCCTCTGAGCAATAGTGTGAGCAGGCATAGCGTGTGTCTTGTCTACAAGGTTCTGGACTGCTACTATATTTAGTTGCATTTTGTGACCATGGAGCACCATTTCAACTTACAAAATCATTAATATATGGACTGGAGAGCTGTTAGTATATTTCCAATTTGTAGTACATTAATCTCTTTACATTAAAGGGCGCTGTGGTAATGCTTTAACTTAATGAGATTAATGATAGTATGAGCAGAGGAAGCATGTGTTTTTTTTTAATCTGCAGGGCTCCAGACTGCGACTATATGGTTGCATTTTGTGACCATGGGGCACCAGTGCGACTTGCAAATCTTTTAATATATGAACTGCAGAGCTATTAGTGGGTTTCCAGCTCACAGTGATTAAATCCTCATGTTTAACTGGGCCGTGGTAACGGTTTAACTTTGTACTGTTGACCAGAAGCTTCAAGTTCACAGCAAAAACATCAACACTTCCGGCCTGAGCTGAGTCGAGTGCATTGAAATTAAAGCATCAGTGTTAGCAATACTTTATTTAGCTTTCTTTTTAACAGTCATTTATTTACCTTTTTTTTATGACAGTAGCTACTTTATTTTTGGGGAGGCAGTAGCTCAGTCCATAGGGACATGGGTTGGGAACCAGAGGGTCGTCTGTTCAAGTCCCCGTCCGGACCAAAATATGGAGCATGGACTGGTAGCTGGAGAGGTGCCAGTTCACCTCCTGGGCACTGCCGAGGTGCCCCTGAGCAAGGCACCGAACCCCCCAACCGCTTGGAGCGCCTGTCATGGGCAGTCCACTCTGACATCTCTCCACTTAGTGCATGTATAGGTCCAGTTTGTGCATGTGTGTGTCTTTCGGACCTGTGTGTAATTGACAACAGAGTGAAAAATTGAATTTCCCCTCGGGGATTAATCAAGTCTATAAAATTAAAAATTTAACTTTCTTGTAACTTTGTTTAATTTAATAATTTTGTATTTTAGATCATAGATTCCCAACTGGCCGAGCCATGGGGTCCAATGCCATTTTTCCTTAGTCATTAGATCAAGATCCACAAAGTTGAATATATTAACTGTCATGCTTGCATGTCTTCAAGCTAGTAGCTAGTAGTAGAAACAGAGCAGCTAACGTTGCTGTAGCGTGAAGGTGTGGGATGCCAGACCAAGCAGTTACATCCTGTTTTATTTGGTGACAACATTGTTTCGATATATCAATCCGGTTATGTGGATTGTTACACTCCTGGTAACTTTGGTAGTAACTGAATGTCTGTTTGTGTGTGTTTGTGTGTGTGTGTGTGTGTGTGTGTGTGTGCGCGCACACATTGTGTCTTTTCCTAGATAACTGGAGTTAATGTGAGACCAGTTATACAGAGATGTCAATCCCTTCCAGTTAGCGACACCTCTACAATGATGGGGATATAAAGGAGGTGAGTGTGCATGAACTCTGTTTAACTACATTTTATTTCATTTAACATTAGTCCCATTTGATTCCATCTAGAAACCAGAAAAAAAACCCACTACTCTCAGTTTTTCATATTTTCTCCTTTATCACATTTGATAGGTATAGAGCAGTACAGGTTTAAAAGCACATGCACCTTAAGCCAACAAAATATGAATTTCGACACAGCAAACTCTGTGATACAGAGATAAATGCCATCTTATGTCACTTAACAAGTACTTCTTCAGATCAGGAGAAGGAAGCAAATTTGTGATTCATTTGGACAAGTCTCTTGGCTTTCCCATAGATGCCATACGTGAATACTAAGTCTAAGCAAAGCACTGATTGATGAATACACAGATGGATTGCACAGATTTTATGGCTGCTAAACCTTACAAATAAGACAAAGAGAAACTGTGTCATTCTCAGACACCCACTAAGGGTGAAATGCATTCCTAACTGCCCTGCTAAGAAAACCCCTGTGCTTTTGCAGTTACTTAAATGAGGTAATATGCAAACATATAGCACAACATTGTGACATTATTAACGTCTTTCGGAAATAGTTTACAGTTCATAGACTGTGGAATAATAAATAGTTTGCAGCCTTTTTATTTTAAAAGTTAACTGCATTAATTAATGAATTAATTCATATGAAAGCATCTTAGTCTCGTGCCTGTATTACAATAACAAAATAAGAGGAAGGTGGCATGCTCCAGTGTGTTGTTTTAACGTCTACAGCAGAGGAGAGCAGCCTCTCTGCTGCACCGTCAAGCTCCTGAGCAGGCTGGGTAGGTGTTTTAAGTTGGTGAATGCTGCATTGCATGTTGGTCAGCCGGTGTCATTTATCGACACTACGCTGATTGCTGCTCTGCTCCGTTGATAATAATAATAACAACACAATAATTACAAGAAGAAGAAGAAGAATTAATTTTATTTATAGAGTGCTTTTCATGGTATTCAAAGACACTTTACATTAGTTAAAAACAATCATAAAATAGAATAGAATAAAATACAAACAACATTATTCACACATTAAAAGACATTTTGAAATTATGAGTTTTGATGAGTGATTTGAAACAGGAGAGGTTGGTGCAGTCTCGAATGTGTTTGGAGAGAGTGCTCCAGAGGGAGGGAGCAGCTATGGAGAAGGGTCTGTCACCCCAGGTCCAGTGCTTGGTCCTGAGTGGTGGAGTCAGGAGGTTGGCATCAGAGGAGCAGAGGCTGCGGGAAGGAGTGTGGCAGTGGAGCAGGTCAGTGAGGTAATGTTATGTTAGTTGCAATGTTAGTCTCCGGGTGGTGTCTTAGAAAGTATTCACAATATACTTCACCTTCATCTTACAAATGTGATTATATAGACATTAAATTCAAACAAGCTTGCAACTGCTGGTTTTGGTGAAAATGAGTTACAAGTGAACTTTCTTGTGTCCATGCTGTAGACTATCCGGGTGCCTGTCTTTGTCTGCATCGCAGTGCATCTAAGAATCGATTATTTTGGTTTATTGGCATCCCATCAAATAAGTCTGTGCATTTTGGTGGAGTCAGATGACAGTAATCATAGATCTATACATCCTAGAATACCAGGTACTGTATTGGCTTGAATATAAGACAATATTTGTTTCTCAATATTACTTTTGAAAAGTGGGGGTCACCTTATATTCAAGGACTAGACATTTTATGTGTTGACAAGATCAGAAATTGTTTTTGAATGCGGGGCTAAAATTAGGGCCAACACAGTAATAGCCACCTGCCACCAAATTTTATTTCAGGTTTTAATGAATATCAGTACAATGCCCAGTGATAGAGAGAAACAAAATCACTACTCTGTGATAATATCTCAGAGAATGGCTGCAAAATTGACATATGCTGGACATCCTTGACAGTACATCAGATAGCTGAAATGTAACCATGCACCATGTAGGCACTATTGGACCAAACCCTTTTGGCTAACTGTCTATTAATGCAGAAATGCTGTAAAAATAACCCTAAGACATGCAGTCTGAAGTAATCAGTCTACCATAGTTTGTGAGGAACATGACAGGAGAAAATAGGTGTTAAAGATATGATTCACGCTTGTTTCACAGTCAGCTGGTCGTTTTGGTCCCCACCTCCTTCACACATCCCACCACTGAGCTGTTCCATTCTATCTGTCTGTACATTGTAGGCTTCACAGGCATGTACAAACCCAGGATTTAATTTCTGAGTGAAAGAGAGCAGCTCTGCAGCTCTGTGCAGAAGGGAAGCAGGTACTGAGATAGAAAGAGAGACACAGGGAGAAGCAGGTTAAGCCCACGCTCTTCTCTTCTCTTCTCAACCCTGCTCTAAAAGCTGAGTTGAATCATAACAGTCAGTGGGCGAAAAGAAAGAGAAAAAAAAATCCTTTCCACGCAGATTCTGACGTACATCTCTAGTCGATTGGGGGTCGTATGGATGGGAGAAGGGGGGGGGGGGGGCTGTTGATAGCCTGCAGCGGTGCTTAGTCTGTCCCTCTCTCCATGGGATTTTAATGGCTGTTTTGTCAATTCATAAAATCGATCCAGCTGGATGAAATCCTCACGACTTTCCTCAGTACAGATATAGAGTTCAGTCAACACTTTCGTCAAGAAATGATCTGTTTATGCCAAGTTATAGCAAATTGCTCTACAGTAAGATTTGGCAGTCAAGGTCTCTACGTAAGCCCTGAGAGGCAAGTGAACGAAAAAAAGGTGATTCACTTTCTAAGTCTGGTCCAAATTATTGTCTCTCTGTGTGCATGACTTAAGAACAGGTTAAAAAAATGTTTTGTCAAGATATCTTACTAAGTTTCGTTCAGTTCCTTAATCTGCAAAACAGGTGGGAAAAAACTTTGCCAGGTAAACAAAACGGTCGTTTTTCCAAAAAAAAAAAAAAAAAGGTCATCTCTGAAAGCAGGTGGAAAATAAGGCAGGTCAAAAACGATGTTTTGATTGATTGATTTAGTTTTTGGCAGGATACATTTTAAAGTGTTTTGTTGTTGTAATACTTGTTTCGGCCACAAGAGGCTGAAGTGCACCACTACCCCATGTTTTAAATAGGACTTAAGCATTCATGTTTTCCTCCAGGTGAGTTTTAATTTCTCCATGCTCCCTAAACACAAGGTGCATTTAAGTTAGCAAATTATGTGACATTACTGTCATGTCTTGTTTTTTGCCTCTAAATGTGTGAAAGAATGTGACTTACAAAAAATTCTCCACAAAGAATTCTCTACTAAATCATATCTAACCACCTAATCAGTTTGAGAGTCCTTGACATGAAAAGGTTTAAGAACAAATTATCTAAGTTCCAATGGTTCAACTGTCAACTAAAGGACTGATTTAGGACAAGCATCACACTGTAATTACAATATTTAATAAACAGCATCCAGTTCTGTATTGTAAGTATGAATAATAATCATATTAAGTTAAAGGAACAGTGTGTAGGTTTTAGTGACATCTAGTGGTAAGGTTGGAGATTGCAACCAACTCAATACCCCTCCCTTTCCAAGTGTGCTGAAGACTACAGTGGCCTTCAGGTACTGTAAAACTCAAAGGTCCAGTGTCTGGTTTGTCCGTTTTGGGCTACTGTAGAAACATGGTGATGCAACATGGCGGATTTTGTGGAAAATGGCCCATTCCCTGTATAGATATGAATTGATCATTCTAAGCTAACAGAAATACGATTCTTACAGTCAGGCGATCATACACTAATGAAAATGTAATTATACATGTTCTATTTCTCTGAATCCTACACACTGCTCCTTAAATTATCAAAAGCAAAATGTATCCAAAGTGCTTATTCTGTTAAGAAATGATTAAAGATTAACTTTGCCTTTAACAAGGATCCAAATATCTCACATCCAAGGGTTTTTCTGTTTTCTTTTTGCCTCCAACTGGAGGCATTATGTTTTTGAGTTGTCTGTCTGTCCGTATGTCCTTCAAATCTTTGTGAACATGATATCTCAAGAATGCCATAAGGAAATTCCTTCACATTTGGCATAAATGTCCCCTTGGGTTCAACAATAAACTGATTAGTTTTGGTGGTCAAAGATCGAGGTCACTGTGACCTTGTTTCTCTCATTCCTGTAAATTTGATATCTCAAGAATACCTTTAGAGAATTTCTTAAAATTTGGCACAAATGTTCACTTGGACTCAATGATGAACTAATTAGATGTTGGTGGTCAAAGGTCAAGGTCACTGTGACCTTGCATCTGTCTCATTCTCGTAAATACAATATCTCAAGAACACCTTAGGGAAATGTCTTTAATTTTGACACAAACTTCCACATGTACTGAATAATAAACTGAGTAGAATTTTGTGGTCCAGGGTCAAAGGTCAAGGTCAGTGTGACCTTACAAAATATGTTTTGGCCATAACTCAAGAATTCATGTGCTTAGTATGACAAAATGTCACACAAATGTCTAATAGGATAAAATAATGAAGTGATGACATTCTACATCCAAAAGTTCAAAGGTCAGCTTCACTGTAACGTCATAACTGATGACTGACATTTGGTCAGACACTCATCTTGAGTGCCAACCTTGAAACTGTGCTGATTGTGTCTCCTCTGTGTTGTGGGGAGGGAGATGTCTGTAAAGCATATATGTTTCCACAGACATGGAGGTAAGCAGTACAAGAAATTTTACAGGTATACAGCCGCGGGGTCGATAATTCTATTTATTTATTTATTTTTTTCATTGGTAAAACATCCCATCCAGAAAATGGAAAATGTCCCTTGTCCCTAACCCTTGTCATGACTAATGTCACAAAGACAGACATGCAGAAAGACAGACAGACTGAGGATAACATGATTTTTTTTGTGCTGTTTAGAACATGGGGTAGTCGTACACTTGGAACAACACTTGAAAAAATTATCTTCACATTAAATAAATGATCATGATAATAATAATAATAATAATAATAATAATCATCATCATCATCATCATTATTGTCATCATCAATAATAATAATAACATCATCAATGTTTTTCATCTGATC